TCATATACCTACACAGAACTGCTTTAAACATAGCTGGATATAGAGTTCAATCCAATACACTTATAAACATGTGTTAAATATTACAATTATATAATATTATCAATGTAACCAACCAGCATAAACAATTTAAAAGAAACTAGAAATATGGAAAGTTTTGCTGTATTCATTATCATTTATCAGCAAGTACTGTTCTGTTATTTTCTTCTTTTCATATTGCATTGTAAAGTACAATACAATGCAATTCAAAAAGTCAATGCAAATTTTTATGAAGAAAATAAATGTGTTGTTGATAAATGTTCATACAAGTAACCTTAATAATATCTGGTAATATTTCTCAACACAGTGTATGGTATGATTTTATATCAAATAGATAACAACATTCATATAAACAGTATACAGTTCCAATCTGATAGGACTACAGTACTTTCAATTGATTCCTGTTTCTATCCATGACCTATAATATGGCCTGAATTGCCTGATCCTTATCCCTCATGTAGTGACAAGGCTTCATCCTGATTTGCAGTAGCAGCCTCAAGTTTAATTCCACCACTCAATGTTTCACATCTTACCAATTTCTCAATGGTGTTTGCTCTAAAAGTACTTAATATATTATTGTCTTTTTACAAAAAAAAATACATGGGAGAACATGACTTCAACCAGGAAGCACTTCCTTAATTCTTGACTTCAGGTTTCAGGTGATGCAGAATGAGCATTTGCTTTGGCTGTGGATCAACTTCCATTCACTTGATTCTGTGGTCTGTGAAAATTAATTAAACAAACTAATTCAAAGAGCTTATCAATGCTACTGTGATGGTTTTAATGATCAAATATGTATTTAAATTTAAAGGTTGTTTTCCACAAACAAAAAAAAAAGTAAAGAAAAATAAGTAGTATCAGCATAATACAATATTAAATGCAGGTGGTGATGTTTAATTGGACATCAAAGTGTTGATAAATATTATTTGCTTAAGTCAGTTTTGATACCTATTAATTAATATATTTTTTGTTATGTTGTGTCTAAGGATTCCTATGTAGATAAAGCATACTATACTATTAATATAATAATTTTGTTATATTCTTTTCATGAAGACATTAAAATCAAATTAAGCCTGAATTACTTAGTCTAAGCAGTCACTGAAGGGCACATCCCCCACCCCAAAAAACTGAATTGATTCAATTTGTGTAGTAATTGTTCTTGGTAGACAGTAGTAAATAGTTGCTATATAATTGTGGATGGCTATTCTTGATTTGTCTTCATGGTCAGTTGTTTATGCTGGGTCGATTCATTGCCAACATTATTGTCTCAATATGCTTATTACAATATAACATCATCGTATTTGATTCACAGTACTCTGTGGTTATTTTGCTGTCGATAGTACCCCAGTTTGAGGAAAAGGCAGGGCTTCCTCTCTGTGTGTGTGGTGTGATAGAGAGACGCTTAGTGCTTCTCAATTAGGTAAAACATACCATACCATTTTTAACGTTATATGTAACCACACACGTACCTTTAAACAGATTCGGTGCAATTTTGACTACTACTTGCACCACCATCCCTGAGATCCCCTTCGTTATATATGTAGGCTATCACATAAAATGTGATGTAAAATAAGAGTTGAACACGTTCAACTTTTTTTGATACAATTTGATAATAGGCCTATATGATATGACGTCATCCCATCCATATGGGCACATCACATTTTTTGTCACAAAATTTGATAGTGTAGACAGCCGTATCAGTGAATTGAGTACGGTATTCACGTAATACTGTACTTCTGTCTCTTATACACATCTAGATGTGTATAAGAGACAGATATAATAGTGCTATATAAGCTGTGGACTAGCTCATATCTGTAATGTTCCCCTTCTAAAAAATGTTTACAACCCCTTTTTATTGTGTAATCCCCTTTCTTTGCTTTGTGAACATTTGTGAAAATTCTATTTCTGTAATAATCTTCCTGAATTTTAATGTTCCTATTTATTGTCTATTATCTTTTTCTTATATAGAGTGCTGTTAGTCTAGGTTCATGGTTTTTTTTTCTTGTCCGTTTCCTTCCGTTGTTGTCAAGCGCCTAGAGGTTGGTCCAACGGGAGGCGCTATACAAATTGCAAATTATTATTATTATTATTATTATTATTATTATAGTACAACAAATTTTTAAAAGATATGTGCAATGTAAATTTTTGTAATTACATTTCACAAATAAATTACTGTATCATTTTATGCAGTACATTGTATGGCAGGTGTGTTTTAAGTGTTTGTCTATATAACTTGCTATCTCTTGTGGTAAAATTTTAGCCTATATTTTACTCATCTCCTTTAAGCTTTATCTATCATTAATTATTATATTGCTCAGGCCTAGTTCATCCTCTTCATCATTCTTCATCTGTAATTCATTATCAATTCACCATCTTCTTCAATACATTCTTACTCAAATCAATGCCTAAATTTTAATGACAAAAATAAATTTGAATCTAACAATTTCTACAACCTAGCATAGGCCTACTACCTCGCCTGTCTACTACTACTAGCAGGCCTAGCTACCTAGGCCTAACTACACATGACACAAGGCATAGGCCTAGGCCTATATGAATGAATATAAAATTAAAGGCCTGTCTTTTTACTCTTAAATAAAATAAAAAACACTCAATTCCCAACAGCCATTCAAATGCTAAAGTTAGTAGTAGTTAGGCCAAAGAGGTATAAAGATTAAGTAATATTTATACCTGCTTGGTTAGGCCTAGGTCTAGACATACTGTACTGTAGTCTACCCTAGATTAGCTCGGCCAGATATTATTTATTTGTCGCTCGCTACGTGAGGGGGCCTAGGTATACTAAGACCATGCAAAGACTTACAATTAATCTACTTATATTATTCTCATTAGCATATTTAAAAAAAAAAGTCAATTATATAAATACAAACATAGATTACCTATATTAAACGAAGTGAAGATTCTCAACTTGATTGGTACTTGAATGAGATCACAGAGCGGGAACAGGCCCAAAACTTGCGTCGAACGATACGATTGTTGTATATACTGACAACATGTGATCACCTGACATTTAAACCGCCAACAATATCCAACTCGCGAACATTAAAATGCATTGACGAATGCAAGATCCTAAGCGTGCGCGGGCCCCAAGGAAGAGAACAGTTTGTTTCTAATAAAATATTTCTTGTTCCATTAGATTAATACTGTAACACTGAGTTGATGTAACATCAATGTGATGGGTATAAATCTACTTTATAATTGGCAACGCGAATTTTTAAAAAAATTCGCGTATTGTAAACATTGTAGTAGTACGACATCGTACCACGTTAAATACCGGAAATAGAATCAACCAATTGAATTCAGGAATTCGAAGGTGTGTTTCGTCTTTTATTTACGACGGATCGATCAGAGACATCAAAAATCTATAAGCATCTACATCTCTACATATAAGCACAATATATAAGATCTCCTGCCTAAAGGCCTGTTTAGGCCTATAAATAAAAGGGTAAAAGGCAATTGTTCATGTAGAAAATAACAGAAATAATGGACGTTTTTACACTAGGACGGTTCGATAACGATTTATCAATGCGATAACAAAATATTTTGACAAAGCAAATCAGAAGACGTCATATTCATAAATTTGTTATCGTATACGCGATAAATCGTTATCGAATCGTCCTAGTGTAAAAACTTCTCCCATTTCTTTTATTTTCTATATGAACAATTGCTTTTTAGCTTTTTATCGTTATCGTTGCAAGTTGCTGATGTGTCGTTGATACGACGAAATATTTAACATTTCTTCTTGTAGATTTGAGTCACTCTTTAGTTCATATTTATACGTTTTTTCTATTACTTTATTACAGTATAGAAAAGTAAAAAAAAATAACAATAATTTTCGTATTTGTATACAGTACAATACGGGACACATAATTCTATTTGGAAAAGCCAGGTTCTGGAGGATAAATGGTTTGGTATGCTGTAGGCCTACAACTAATTTTCACTAAGACACACAATGCATACGGAAAACTCGGGGATTAATACAGATTTTCGAATAGGCCCTAGTATTTAAAACTATTTTAAACTGGTGGAAAAAGCCTTTTTAATTGTTCAAAAATCTGTACTCCGACATTAGGCCTAACTGTTCTCGAGTTTTTCGTCAAATAGGCCTTATTCTTAAGAAAAACAATAGGTGATACGCTGATGATTTTGTATTTAGAAAAATTTTCCTCTGGAGCTTCTCGGAAGCCTGGCTTTTTCTAAGATACAAAAAGTAGGCCTATGCCTATTTATTTGACGAAAAAATGGGAGCAGTTATTGTTGGAGATACAGATTTTTAAATATATTTAAAACAGGGGAAAAGGACAATTTGTTGAATGATGATGTAGATTTCAGTGAAGCGGAGATAATTTAAAATTTCTTTCTCGAATGGTGAAGCCAGAATATGTATATAGCCTTTTTGGAATTTAGGTCTGTTTAACTAGTCACTATAACAACTCCCTGGTTGTAGATAACCGTGATTTGAGAATATTTTTACCGTTAAAACGACTGAATATAGCCCTTTCCATTGATTGAGTTATAATTAAAGTTGACGAGGTTGTTTAGTGATTAATATTTGATTGATTTCTTGGTTGTTTGGATTGTCCTTACCATGGCGACGCTGGCCCTCTAAGTGGAGACCGAGACCACCCCAAATTATCAGATCCATGATGATGGTCTTGAATTGGAGGGCGAACTGTATTATAGTGTGTCCTCCCACTACCGTATTTTCATTTGTATTAATTATTATGTTCTATTATGATTTTATATAGCACTAAAATATTTATTAAAAAATAAAGATGAAAATGCTTTTATTATAGGCCTATTTAATATTTTTAGCAGAATGTCATTGCATGATTTATATAGGCCTGGGCCTATTAAAAGTTGGTCTGCATGTATAAATAACAATTATCCATGATGCCTCACCAGTTTTCCACAAAACAAAACATCCGACGACGAATCAATCACATCACAAAAAAAAAAAAAAAGTCGGCGAAATGTTTGTCGGCGAATTAGCTGTCTCTCGAAAAAAAATGCTAGATGGATGGGCATCTTTTCGACACTACTTTTGCAAACTAAAGAGGGAGCTTCATTTCGAGATAGGCTTCTTCTTTTACGGTATGCATCCGCCACAGATCTCAAATTATCAAAAATGCCTGAGCTCCGCCACATCGATCCCAGCAAGGTTTCCCCCGCCCCCTAGGCGCTTCCGCCCACCGGAGCCATTTTGGTCCACTCTCTACAAATTCGCACTCACCCAATAAAAAATCCTGAAGCACTGCCATGGGCGTCAATTGGGGGCCAGAGGGACACGTCCTTCATCAAAGTGGGGAAACATCATATCAATTTCCTCCGCCGTTACCAATCGTTCTATAGTTAAATCCCACTTTTCAAAGCGAGTGGAATTCAATAGTGGGGCCAGAAATTTGCCGACAAGGGGTCCGACGTGTCTGACGGAGGAGTCCGAACCACTGCGACAACGAAGGCTCGGTCGACAGCCCGGAATAAAAAAAAAATCCTTGTTGGGGGCTCATGGGGAGAGTTTTTATGGCTTAATTTTGGTCCTAAATGTGTTTTTAGACCACAATATTATGAATTGACAATCAAAATTGCGTTATTTGCGTTTTTTGTTTTTTGTTTTTGTTTTTTGTTTTTTGTTTTTCAAACAGGGGGGAGGGGGCACAACAGTTTCAGAATAGGTAATTGAGTAGCACGAACATTGATTTGCATTGAAATTCCTTTCCCCTGCTGGATCTGCCCCTGGGTCCAGGCTTGTTAAACGGGGGTGGGGGATGCTCCCCCAGGAACTATGAATGACTGTCATCGCACTACCAAAACCGAGTAAAAAACGCAATTGTTTGTACATTATTTCGTATCACAGTTATGGGTGCAAACGGTCATCAGAGTCTCAAATTATTGTGAAAACAATGTGCACTTCGCGTTAAAATTTAAAGCGTGTAAACCTATTAGGGAATGCCAACATTTTACAAACTCAAAAGTGCAAAATTTCTTCTATAAACGATGTATTCCTTTTGTATTATCTGCATAGGCCTATCCTTTGTTTTTTTCAATTGTTTATTTTTTGTCACTGGATACTGCGTTGGCAAACCAACACATTGTGCAACTTCCTCTGCCCCTTTGGGAGTATCCCTGGTCATTGCTGCTTATACGCGCACGACCCATCCCATACATTCAATGCCATACCATTCAATGCCATACCATCTTACCAGGTACCCATTTATACTCCTGGGTGGAGAGAGGTAATCGTAAGTAAAGTGCCTTTCCCACGGACACAGAGAAATCTCACGAGCGTCGGTCAGAAGTTCAACACCTAACGCTGCGCACACGCCCCTATTCCTGTATCTCCTAATTTCCCCAAAAAATTCTAGTCAGTCAATTCAATTTTATATAGCCGTTATACAATTATACAACCAATGACACGGATACCTTTGGCGGATTCAAGGGGATGGGGAGGGAGCAGGCCCGCCCCCATCCCCCACTCCTATTTTTGTTTCCAGATTATAACAAAAAAACTTTAAAAAAGAAGGAAAATATAAAATCTACGTATGAGAAAGCCATTTCCGTTGTTTGTTTCTTTATTATTATTATTATTATTATTATTACTATTATTATTATTATTATTATTATTATTATTATTATTATTATTATTATTATTCAATCCTTTCAGAAATCAATGAAAAGCAATTACAAAAAAAATCAAACATCATCAAAAACATTTAACATCATACATCAAAATTGATTAAAATACAGTTGAAAAAAAAATGGCAAAGAGCAAAAGAAAAACACCAGATTTTTTTCTGAACAGAGAAAGCAGAAAAGGACACGCAATAACAAAATAAAAATCAAAGACCATATAGAGGTGCCAAAATCATAAATTTTCTCAGTATAGGCCTACCTCAGCCCCAAATTATAATAAAATTCCTTTTGTATATTTGCATACAACATAAGATTCCTGTTTCTCCTAATTTCCAATCAGTCAATTGAATTTTATCTATAGCCGTTATACAATTACACAGCGGATGACATGGATACCAGTGGCGGATTCAAGAAGGGTGGAGTGGGGAGGCCCGGCCTCTCCCCCTCCACTTAATTTATTTTCCAAATTAAACAAAAAAATGAAAAAAAGATGGAAAATTATATAATAATACTTAGGTCTGAGAAAGCCATTTCCGGCCATCTAAATGTGCCAAAATCATAAATTTTCTCAGTATTGTACCTCAGCCCCAAATTATAATGAAATTTAAGTCTGAGAATGCCATTTCCGGCCATCTAGAGGTGCCAAATTCATAAATATTACCTTAGCACTACCAATGGTGGGGCTGAGGAAATATAGACCTCTGTATGTTGAAGTCGATCCCTGTCCCCTTAATATTTCGAACTTCTGGACCCGCATACTTGGTTAGTAGGTCCATAAAATATATGATTTATGAATTGAATTGACTTCTGTTACTTTGGGGAGAAAAATTAAATATTTACAAATACGAGTCAATATCAATTTTGATTTATACTTCTCGAGTAAAAAACGACGAACTTTACTTTTGAAAGCCCCAATTTTTTTTTTCTTGTTTGTTCCATATTGTTGGTAGACGAAATGCAATGCTTTGTTGCCTACCTTAGTGTGTTTAAGTATAGTTAGGCTTTTCTTTATTTCAAGTTTCATAATTACGAATAGATTCATTTGTCATAAAATATTCATCAAAGGTGATTGGTAGTCTATGTCTATGACATTGAAACATAAATATTTACATGTTTTACAAATCAAATATATTAGTGAATTTGTTTGAGAAAAAAAGTATTTATCGTGAGTGGATTTCCCGCACGATTAAACATCGTAACGATACTGAGTTTGGTCTACAGGAGTTCGTGCTTCGAACAGGTCAATCCATTCATAGAAAAAGCCTTTTGATGGAGAAAGTGTACTTTTTTAGCAAGGTTTGTCTAGGTCGAAACTAACTCCGGCTATATAAAATTTATTAGATTGAAAATGCTAAGTGCTACCTAAATTTACTTTCAGAGTTTATATTTAATTAATTAAAAATTGTTTAGATATATTTATTTGAAAAATATATTATGTGAAATTCGTTAAAGTTTATAATAATATTTGATACGGTAATATTTAAATGAAGCAAAAAGATTGAAATATGTTAAATACAGACACGTACTCCTCCTAAACCCAGTACGATACCGTTTTACGATTTTTAATCGTGCGGGAAATCCACTCATGATCATGACTTTGAAATTAAAGTTAAAAACACCCAAAAATTTAGTTTGTGTTATACCTCATCGAGATTTGTGTAATTTTTATTGAGTGGTATAAACCGGACGTATACAAAATCTTATTTTTACTTCGGAAAATTATGTAATAATTGTTTTTTTTATTTTTTTTTAAGGTGAGTTTGTTTGCCGATAAACCAATCTGACAAGACTGTCAGTTCATTATTTAGAGTTCTAGTTGCTGATATAAATGGGGTTAGAGGCACTATTGAAACATTTTGTATTTGTATTCTACTGTATTTTGTTCCTATTTTCAATACTTGCCATGGTGATATGAAATGTAAAAATGTTGTGGAAAACGGGGTGGGGCCATGGATCTCCACATGGTTTTTGCCGTTTGCCGTTTATTGATTGAAGAAGAAAATAATACGTCTCAAAACTACGGCTATAATTGTTCACAATATATAATTATCATTATTAGATACCCAGAAAGAATAAAATGATCACCTAAAAATATAATATATTCATCAATGGTGTGAAGTGGTTCGTAGTAACCGTAAAACCTCGAAAAGAAGCCCAACCCACCTCCTCTTTGGTTTGCAAAACTAGTCTCGAAAAGAAGCCCATTCTATAGAAGATAGCAGGGCTTCATAGCATGGACTTTCATTCCAGATAGTACAATACACAGGTATGGCTGGCCTTTGTTTGAGGGTGGGACGTAAACAAATACTTTACTTTACTTACTGTAGGCCTACATGAATTCCAAACAAACAAAATAAAATAAACCGCTTGGTTTATACGGTAGTTTACGTGATTTAGTTCCCGTTAATACACTCCATGATACAGATTGACGTTAGATGTTTGGTCGGAAAAAAAAACAGAAGCCCAGGGATTCCATTCGAGGTTTTAAGGTATGCGCCCATTGAAGCTAATTGTATTTTGACGATTGCAAAGTGTGTGGGTCTTTCAGAAAAAAATGGGACTTAGTTTGGATTGAAGGGTCTGAGAGTTCTATTTCCGGCCATCTAGTGCCATAATCATACTTCTTGTTTACTTCAGCCACAACCATGATGAGGCTCCACCTGTGAAAATCCGACCTAGGCCACCAGTATTTCGAATTCCTGGATCCGCCACTGGTGATGATTTCTTCACCCTTCACCAGGTTAAAACGATTTAGGGTCGTAGCGGCCGCGAGTCGATACGCAGCAATTAGTATGGAGCGCCAAGCGTGCAGTACTGTATGCAAAATATATGTTGGAAAATGGGCATGAGAGTTCGATATTAATACTGTTTTAATCAATTATCTAATTAATGTATATTTTCTTTCATAATCTATATATAGCCTATATAAACCGAGACTTAATATTTAGTTAGTTTATTTATTATATCAATTGATTTATAGTATGCCTATTTTCTTACAGAACTGGATGGTAATTTTCAAATGACTTCTTTAGTTTATTTATTCGAAGTTTACTAACATAATTCAATTATGTCATGTACGTACAAAAATGTTTCGATCTGTAATCAATCTGTAAACAAACCGATCTTTAATCAACCAGGGCCAAGAAGACTACGAGAAATAAAAAATATTCCATTTTGTATATATATTTGTTTTGTACCAATTAAGTCTGATAATTATACACTAATTTCTCTTTATTTCGAAACACTTGCCCAATCAATCAGTATAGCGCTACTGGCATTCCATACATTTTGAGTGCAGCCGCTTTCCCTCGCGGCCGCCTCGACCATAGTCCGTTATAAAACGACCTAAGCCAGTATACCTTGTTGAATTGCTTGCACTATAATTAGTTGATTAATGAATATTTTACACGTTTAAAACAACCCAAGCAAAAGTTTGTTATGAAGATGACTTCCAAAATCTAACCTTTGTTTTAATTATGATCTAAGTGCGAGCCTGAATTATGGTAATCTATTAATCTTGTTAAAAATGTAAACACCAACATACTGTGCCCGCTTGTTAAGACCTACATTATTGACGGTCAGTGCAACAAGGAGTAACAAAGTGATGTCGTCACAGGGCCTGTTGGTTCCAATCAGTGCTAGTCTGTGTTACTCACACACACTTGTATTTATTGAATCTTTGAATGAATCAGCTACGCTCTTTGAAGTTACACTTCTCTACTACTAGACAAACTAATAAACAGTTACACACATTTAAGATCACAACACACTAATGCACATCAAAACAACGATAACCTTGTTTACCCATCAATCATTTTGGAAAACAACTTAGCATTCCAATACAGCAAAATACAATTTTCTACTAAAGAATTTAAAAATTGAGAAATGAGATTAAAAATAAATACTGTGCTGTAAAATATAGGCATAAATGCAAAACTGAAAGACTACCATATACTAAAATATAAAATACTGGTCATATCACACTGTAATGCATGAAAAGAATCTAACAAACCCTGTACGTTTCAAGTGAAAATATAACCCAATAATATTGGGTTATTTTATAAGCAATTTACATTGCAGAAGATAATACATACAATACATTGCCATTATAGATTACTGTTCAGTAACAGAAATCCAATGCTAGTTAAATGTTTACCATGCATCAATAACATACTCTAGTAAAACATCAGATAAGGTAAAGTAAAACCTCCATTGTATAAATTTAAAATATAATTTCTTATTACAATATTCAAGTAAAGACAAAAGAGTTTCATAGCAGCAAGTTATCACAATAAAGTTAACTTTGTTTATACGTTGGTAAAGTTAACTTAATTACTACTATTTGGTTAATAATTTTCTAGTATATACATCAGATATATTAATTTAGTTTTACATTGGAATTATAGGTACAGTGCTTCTCAGCTGCTCAGAATTCAGCATGGTGGGATTTCATTGCCACCAGCCAATTGCCTTTTATCTAGTAATTCCAATGATAAAAAACCAAAGTATACTTTAGGCCAGACTAGACTTTTTTTATACTTATTTCCAGTGGGGTCCTTCTGGTGGCGATTGGGGAGTACACCGGGAGACAATCCTCTACTTTTTTCCAAAGAGTGTACATATGGGCCATAAATGTACGCGTGACCAACGGCCTAAACGTCTCATCCAAAAGGCGGTGCGCTATTGTAACTTGTATTTAAGCCCTCCAGCTGAAACACAAGGAGATGTATATTTCTTCCTAATTATATAAATTTAAAGCATTTAACCATCCCATTACTACACTGTTTACATTCAACAATAAAATTTTATTTTTTATTTTCTCCTCTGTCTGGATGTTCTTGTCAAATATATTTGCTAAATAAGAAAATGTAATTTTATTTTATTTTCCTGCCCCTCATCTGACGACCTTTATAAAACTAAGTTGGCGAAACAAAGTATAAAAAAACCTTACTTACAAACAAGGAATATTCCTATGATCAAGGGTCACAAGTCTCCCACTAACTCCCAAAGAATGCACAAATCTCCCGGGAAAAAAATCTTCCGCAAATTCATAATAATTGCACGTTTTTACAAGTTTATTTATCAATAGTCTCACAAAAATCGGGGACGATGGGTATCATCCACGCACACAAAAATAAAAATTAGATGTGTTTAAGAAAGCTCATTTTACCAGATATCCAGGATTCGACTTGTTCCAAATTTGGAGCCTTGTATGATTCCACCACATGGTGGCTCTTGTCTTTAGGTAACATTAACATCACTCAGAAGCAAAGATGCACAATCATTACTGCTTTGCTTTACAACATAATTATTTCTGACTGTGAAAAAGAAATCATGCTACACATGGATAAAATTTACTTAAAAAATTTAAAATTTAGTTTTCTATGTACTATCACATAAAGGAACCATCAGTGTATTTAAAAGCCTCACATAAATGTTAGTTTTAACTTTAATACAGGATTTACACATGAATGAATTTCATCTAGTCTAGTCTTAGTTTATACATAATAAAGAACCAACACTATTTTAATTTTAAGATTTATACATTTTATCACATTTTTTATAATGATGATAAAGATAATTCAGCCTAAACCTGACAAGTACTGTAGTTAAAGCTGAGAGTAGGCTTAACTTAAATCTGACCGGTAGATGCTGGAGGAGGTTGACCATAGTATGTATACATTGGCACAAAGCCTGTGCTGCCCATGAATGCGTCGTCTGATGTATCTTCTTCCTTCATGTCCACTGCTCCAAACACACTTGAAGCATACGATGGTGGTGCTAAAAAAACAGAAAATAACAGGATTATTTCTAGACCTACTGCGTACAGTAAAAAATTCCAACTGATTGACCTAAGTTTTAAATCTCACTGTGTTTAAGCAGTAACTGTTTTTTGCTTGATTCTAAAACTTTCACCAATATTAAAAGCAATGTATTAAAGGTTTAAAAAAAATGTTTTTAAAATATTTGCTGACCCTCATTATATATTAATAATTTAAACTTAAAATTTAATTGAAAGGCCCTTTATATTTTTTTGGTACATAATATATATAATATATAATAATGTGGTACATAATAATCAAAGAAAGACACCATTTTATTTTCTGAAGAAAAGGTCAAGGACACACCCTTGAGCATAAAACATATTAATGGAATTGCAAATTGTATTCAGGCAGCACTCAGGAAAACAATGTGCCTGTATACAATGGATGATTCCATTATTTTCTTGAGGGTATGCTCTAGTTACGTAATGTTCTAATTTTGTATGACAATGTGAAATATACAGAATATAATTTTAAAATGTAAAAAAAAAAAATAAAAGTAGATGAATTTAAAATATTAGGATTACTTACGAAGGTTTGGGTAGGGGTCAGGCAAAGCAACAGGAGGTGCAGACGGTTGTTGTGTTACCACTCCATATTGAGTGTTATATCCACTGCTGTACACATTTGCTGGTATTGTACCAATCAATACCGGAATATCAATACGGCAATCCACTGCCATTGGAATATCCACGTGCAGCTATATAATATACACAAAAATACAAAGCAGTCAATTTCCATTCATGTTGTTCATGATACAATTTTTTTCCTCCAACCAGATGAAATTTTCTTGACACAACAAATACAGCAGTCAAACTGATTTGAACAAAACAATTAGGGCTATTTTACTCTTTCAAAATTACTACACTATTACTCATATATTACTATAAATAGATACATTATATATAAGATAGCTTTATACAGTAAGGTGTTCAATTCAATTTTTAGTGTCCTTTTCAAGGTAAATGTTATATCTGTGATAACATTTTGTGGTTGTTTACAAAAAAAGATGATAATGAAAGTGGAGACATTGTTAAAATATAATAGCTTTGTAGACTATTTCTGCTTTAAATTTTATATTCTTTTATGTATCTATTGCTAAACATACCCTGACAAAGTATGATGCCTCGATGATGCTACAGTTGGTTAGAGTGGGTGCAATTGGTGGGATAAGGAGAGGTTTTTGGTTCCATCCGTGACGTTTTCCCTCACCGATTTCTGGCTCAGAAATTTTACATACAAGGTTGTCAATCTTGCGGGTTTTGCGAGTGGCTTTAAAAAGGACCCTCTGATATAACTCGATAAATGGCTCAAGGTCGCGTGAGCTTCCGTTGTTCACTTCGCCGGTATGCACTATAGATTCACCTGATGAAGTATATATCAGACAAAACAATCAGGTTTTCTAAAATTAATATTTAATTAATAAATATATTAACATTATTATTTTTCATTTTTTAAAATATGTATTTATAAAATGTTGCATACAAGCTCATATTTCTCATACTTATGATCACCATTGCTATTATCATTGTCTTAACAACAACTGTGTAAACTTTGTTATTTATTAATATGATTGATTCCACAGTTTATATGCAGCTGTAGGATAAATTGAAGGGTATGAAGGAATGAAGGGGGTTTGGAGGGTTCTCTACTGGTATTAAGTGAACACAAACAAATGTAGATTATGTAGTTACAGTACACTAACACTAACACTTTGCTTTCCTATTTAGATGCAGGATGCTCTAGAAATATGTACATTACATAACTACACTTACCAGCACAGTACGCTTGGCGCTGGATCTCAAACGATGCATTTACGTGGGTCGCACAGCAACAGCAGCATACTTCTTTAGTATCATCTCTTCTCATAGGATTCTAAAATGAAAATTTAATGGTCATGCTGCATATTTTTCTTAGTTTGGGGGCGTTATGTGTATTTCGATGTGTCTTTACACGTTCTACTAATTAAAATGGCCCTTCTCGGCTGATAAGGGGCAAAAAGGAATGCTGATGAATACTGTATCCTGAAGCCCACTTAAGGCTGGGGCTTCTGGCTTAAGTCAACAAGATATCATAGCTCTTACGCCACTGAAGATGGTAGTGGTAACGAAAGGGTTTTTGATGATGGTACTGATGATGATGGTGCCAAGTCGAAAGGCCGAGCAGTTAGCCTACAGCCATAGTATTGGTGCTGGTTCGAACGGCACGCTCACCTATGGTTTGGATGGTAGAACAAGTCTTCTCGAATAAGGACTAATAACCGTAGGCCCAGTGTACAAAATGGCTCGTGTGCACTATAAAGAAGCAAGTCCAGTACATTATTCGAGACAAGTAGGGGGATACCCCGGTGTACTAGTACAGCCCCTGTGGTGAATGACGAGAGTTGCTGGTACCGGGTTACTGGTAGCACAGACACAAAGGGACCCTTTGGGGAGAAGAAAGTCATTGATCAAGTTCGTAGTCCACATATCTAAGCGCCTTGTATCCTTTGGCAAAAGGTACTATATGAATTCCTATATTATTATTATTATTATTACTTATAATAGCAATGATAGTACAGATTTCTGATGTTTCTGATGATGATAATAATGAAGATAAAAATGAAGATGTTGATGGTAAGATGTATACAATACTGTACTTACTAGTAAAACTGGATTAGCATTACAGTCTACTGGACTGATGACAGTAATCCCTACTTTACAGCGTTTGTTAAATTTCCACCACGTTTCATCAAGCACTGACTCCAGGTAATAACGCACCCATCCGTGGGCGCCCTCAAACGTTGTTGGTAAGTTCCTAATATTACAAATTCATACTTTGTGATTAAAATTTTAAAATAAATAAAATATCATTAAAATTTTCAATTATAAATTATCCATGGGTATACAAGTATCGTAAGTATTCTGCCTTGCACCCATGTAACTTGGAATGTAATCATTCATATCCATCAGCAAAGCTATATTAAAGATGATATCAGAACAGCCCAATGTGCAGTTAAAAAGTAAAAAGCCTAATGGTGGATTAAAAATACAAACTAGAAACTATGCTCAATAGAGCATAACACAATCAGATAATTTCTGGTAAATTTGAGCTCAATTTGAAAATTTGACCATTGAAGTCTAATTGAGAGTGAGTGCGCTATACAAGAGGCTTGCATGCAGCTTTCTAATGTTTGCTTCCTTCATCTACCTGTTGGTTAAAGCCCCATTCCCGGCAAAATTTCACTAAAAACTTACTTTTTTTAGAAAATATGCATTTGCATTACTCCAATTATTATAAATCATGGAAAATATTGGCATGAATTTTAGTTTTACGCAAAAGAAAGAATAAAATGAGAAATACAGACTATTTCTCATAAAATATTACTATTTTCTCGACAAATTCATTGTTACTAGGCAAATTCAGAGGTTGTAGATCGCATCCACAGGATACTATCGCTTTTATGTATACTTTATACAGTGCACCCTCTCTAATGAGATTAGTTTTTGTACTTCGCATCTCGCACAATGCGGTCGTTCGGTTAGGTAGAGATATGTTTGTTTAAGTGTCAAAATCTCAGTCAGAATCAGTTTTTTAACAAATTTGAAAATAATTCCTATGAAATATTACATTTCACAAGTGTCAATACTAGCAACGGAAAATATCATGTTGGCCGTTTTTATGTGTGATAACAGAACCTAAATCGAGGTAAGGCTAGGCTAGGTAGCCTAGCAGCGTTGGATAGGCTAATGTTTTCAGCGCCTACGATATTTCTTCTCCCGACCTATCGCAAAATCAAAAAATCGCGAAAAATTCATCCGCATTTATTTTTTGTGTGGAACACAAAAAAAATCAAATTTCAGTCTTATTTTACATTTTTTTCATTCTTAAGAATGTCTAAATTCAGTTAAACTAGCAATTCCGTATTATATTTATAAATCTTTATAACATTATACAAAAATTAGATTTTTCT